TGTGAGGCGGAGGGCATCGCTTGTCCCGAGCCCCGGCTGGAGGGGAGGGGGCGGTGAGGGCCGTGAGGGGCCTGGAAAGCCTCAGGGTGGGAGCCCCGAGGGGGTCTGAGCTGGCCGGAGCGGGACAAGGCACCTCAGGATGTAGGATGAGAGGAAACGGCCTCAAGCGGCACCAGGGAAAGTTCAGTTTGGTCATCAGGAGGAATTTCTTCACAGAAAGGGTGATTAGACATTGGAATGAGCTGCCAGGGAGGTGGTGCGGTCGCCATCCCCGGGGGTGTTTAAGGAAAGACTGGATGTGGCACTCCGTGCCGTCGTTTGGTTAACATGGTGGTATTTGGTCATAGGTTGGACTCGGTGGTCTCAGAGGTCTTTCCCAACCTAATTGATTCTGTGATTTCGGGCTGTGATTTCTGTGTGTGCCTCAGGGCAGGTTTGGGATGTCTCTCCCATTTTCAAAGAGAAAATCCTATGGGATAAAAGACCCCACTCCCTTACCTCTCCACCTTCTTATTTTCTGCAGGACACTAGAGTGAGACGTGGAGGCTTTGCCCTATTATTAGGGAAAGGTTCTTCCCCCAGAGGGTGGTCGGGCACTGAACAGGCTCCCCAGGGCAGTGGTTATAGCACCAAGGCTGACAGAGCTCAAGGAGTGTTTGGACAACCCTCTCAGGGACAGGGTGGGATTGTTGGGGTGTCCTGTGCAGAGCAGGAGTTAGGCTCAATGATCCCTGTGGGTTGCTTCCAACTCAGGATATTCTGTTTTTATGCCCTACAGGGCACAGGTGTTGGGCTCTACCTGCAAGGCTCCTGCTCTCCAAGGTGCCTCAGGCTCTCCCCAGAGCATGTTGGTGGATGGCAGCTAACAGTTATTCATGATCAAAAGTGTCCGGAGAGCAAATCTTGGAAAAGCTAACTTCAGCTTCTGCTTTACTTGGCTGTGGGAGTTGAAACCTCTGGAAGTCAGTTCCCGCTCAGTTTGTTTCTGCACCAAATTCCTGGCATTTCAGATGTTCATTTTTACGTGTTCTTGGAATTTTGTACGTTCCTGTAGATTTAATCTTCTCAACCAAATGCCTCAATTTCAAGGTATTTAAATAAGGGAAGAAGACTAGATGAGGCGTGTGCTACCTTGTTGCCTTCAAATACAGAGGCTATGACTGATAAATATTGTAGTTCCTTTAGGTAGTGCTGACTGCAGCACTAATTAAACATGGGGCTTATGCGATATATTGGTGTATTAAATTGGATTAGCAGATTTGCTGCATGGTAATGTGCTGTTCCTGTTTTGGGGGATGGGTAGGAACTAACATCAAGGTGCATCTTAAATCCTCAGGGTTTAAGGAGGGTGGAATAAATTACTGTTAAACCTGTTGTAATGTTTGATATGAAAAATGTTTTCCTCAATTACCTGAACATATATGTGTGATGAGCCTAAAATAGACAATAGCACACAGGAACCAATGAATTGCACAAATCACACAGCATATGGTAAGGATTTCTAACTTATATATTGATTAACTACATTTTTCAAGGAAGTGTTCGATTTATGCATTTGTGTGTCTGCTAGGTGAGCTTTACAAAGGATGGGATTAGTAATACCATTAGTCTGAAAGCCCAAAACACTTGTGTGGATTGGGTGCTTTACTATTAGGAATAAATACATTTTCTCTGATTGGTACATTTCTAAGTGAGGTTTCTGGTAAATCTCCTCAATGTATGTTACATCCTTTAGGCTCTGTCCTGCACTGCTGTGATTAAAACAAACCATTCCTGTCATACTGATTTTGCATATAATTATTAGAAGAATTGACGTTTGACAGAACAGCCTTCAAAATCTTCTAATTTTTAAGTTTTTTTTTCTTAAGGCAACATAGTGCTTTCCATTTTTACTAGGTTCTGCTGTGTGAGGCTCTGTTTTGAAAGCACATTTATTTGATGATCAGTTCTGATGCACTTTGGAGTTTAACAGAAAAAAATCTTAAATTGATCACTTGGTTTCCTATCTGTGTTTAACTTTTCTGATGTTCTCAGGCATTGAAATAAATGGTTTGATAGCACAGCAGTTTTGCTTTATGTGCACTCATGTTTAAAATCTTGGGATCACAGACTGGTTTGGATTGGGAGGGACCTTAAAGTTTATCCAGTTCCACCTCACTGGCATGGGCAGGGGCACCTTGCATTAGACCAATTTGCTCCAAGCCCCATCCAGCCTGGCCTTGGACACTTCTAGAGATGGGGCAGCCACAAAATATATGTGTGTGCGTGTTTTTCATATTTTGCTTTCCATAAGTGTTGAATGATTTTCTTCACTGGGATGTTCTGGCATAGTGAAGGTTTTCCAAATAATTTTGGCTGAAAATACTATCTAAAATGGATCATTTTTTGAGTTACTCATTCCTTTGCATACTTTTTTACATTGTGTTTCTGACTATAAATGGCCAGAGATTAAAAAGACGTTATGTAGTTTGAGGTTGATCACAACTCAGATTATCAGTTGTTTAACTAAATACCCTGTGATTGTATTTAATACACCACACTTTTGAACAGGAGATAAGCTTCAGAGTAGAGCAAGTTGCTAAATTAATTAATGTTTTTTCTTTGTGCAGCATTTTTACACACACAGCAGTTTTTAGATTGTCCCCACAGTACTTGAGCTGCTTTTTTTTTTTATTATTACTTAAGTAATAAAAAGTTAATTTCTGGACCATTCTTGAAGCACTGCAGTTCCTAAACACCTTTGTGGGATCCATCGCCCAGACAAATGGGGTTGATTCAAAGCATCAAAGTGGTGTCTTTGAGTAGTAGGTTTAGAGTCTTTGGAGTGACACTGAAAAGAAAACTGTGTCTTTGTTTATATCAATATATTTTAACTGCACTGGGTTTTTTCTAAGTAGCAGAAAGCACTGCTTTTTTTGCTTTATTTTTTTACAAGAATGTATTTTTTTTGTATTTGCCTTAGATTAGGCACATTGATCAGTAGCATAAATGTGGGGCTTTATAGCAGTTAAGTCCAGGCATAACTGGAATATTATTTTTTTTAGTCTCTATGCAATATGGATAGATACTAAAAAAGATCCAACTCTTGCCTGTGTGTATTATTGGAAAATCTGGAAAGACATATTGAACCTGGCTTGCAGGTCAGATGGAATTAACCAACAGTACTCACAAGTACTGAAAACTGTTAGAAAATGGGCAAAGGTCTGGGTTTTTTTCTTTTAAAACAACAGACTTCAGCATTAGGGAGTGACTAATATTCTGGTAATACATTGCAAACTTTTAGCAGGTGTCATTTTCTGCTGTGATTTCCACTTTGGTTGTCCTAAGAGTCAAGGATAATGGGATAATTTGGGTAGAAAGAGACCTCAGGAAGTTGTATAGTCCAACCTCCTGCTCAAAGCAGTGTTGGCACTGAATTCCAACCAGGTTGCTCAGGGCTTTGTGGAGTCAGACCTTGAAAACCTCCAGGGATGGTGATGACATGATTTCTCTGGGCAACTTGTTCCAGTATTTGACTGTTCTCATGATGAAAATGTTTTCTGTATGTCAGGTTCTGATTTCTCATTGACTCATATTGAAGCCAGAGTGAGAATTACATTAGAATTAGGGCAGCAATTAGATTTGTATATTTTGCTTAATATTTAGCAAAGAGAAAATACAAGTTGATCATAGGACTGGCTTAAAAAATATTTTTAAACCATATGTGTGTTAACTGTGCTCTGTATCAAGACTGTTCTACAGTAGAACTTAATTTGTTTCAGTTGTGTCTTGCTAGAAAAACGCTGTGATTGTCAGTTATTGCTCAGTTTCAAATAATGTTTTGTCCTCAGTTCAGTGTCTGCCAGCACCAAATATTACTTGCAAAGATCACCTTGGCGTAGAAAAAGTCTTTACAGGACACGAAGTTGGATTTTACAAGCCTATTGAGTGTCGCAATGTGTAAGTACTCACTGGCTTTTGTGATCGTTTGTCTTTGTTTTCACACTGATGTTTTTCTAAAGTCGTGTGATGTGTTGACAGAAGGAAAAAGAGAAGTAAAATAGAACCATACACGTGTTGCCCAGTAGTTAATCCTCTAATAAACAGTATAAGGATGCAACAGAGAGTCATGGAATGGTTTGGTTTGGAAGGGACCATAAAGCTCATCTCTTTCCAACCCCCTGCCATGGGCAGGGACACCTTCCACTAAACCAGGTTGCTCAAAACATGCATGTTCATAAGTTCATAAGTGAATCTGTCTCTGCCTGCACATTTTTGTTGTTGTTGTTGTTGTTGCTTAGTTATGTTTCTGTCTTTGCTTTACTTACTACACTTTAGCCTGGCAAAATTTTATCCCTAATGCTAAGGCCACATTTCACATATGCTTAAAATCAGTACAGCTGGTGAAGGAGCTGTTGGGGACACCCCTCCATCGTATCCCTGTCCTGACAGACCCCACGGCATCAGGGAACTGATCTGGGTTGAGCTAACTTGGATCAGTTCCCCAGTTTGAGTCACAGTACAGTGGCTTCAAGTTCTGGTGCCAGCACAAGGATGAGGGTGACTCAAGAATAAAAGAGAGAGGAGAAAGGAGGGCTGGACTGGGCTGTGCTATTCAGTGCTTCTTGCCAGTTTACAGTGTGCCTGTGCTGAAGTTGTAGTATGCCGGAATATTGGGGCAGCTTCAGTCTCTCCACCTCTTCCAAAAATATCTTTAAGGGGAACTGTTCTCTATTTTTAAACAACTTTTGTGTTTAATCAAACCCTCTCTGTCTTTTAAGAGCCTTTTTCTGGTATGTGAATGATGGACCTAGTTTTTCTAAAGCACATTGTGAGTGATGGAGAGCTCTGGATACCAATAAATGTTCCAACTGGCCAATGCTAATGATCAGCCAGCACCTGTCAGTACCATTTGTTTCTCCTTTTTCTGGGATTCACATTGGAACCTCTTTCTTTTGTCCTACTGGAATCCTTGGAAATTAAAACTCCAGCAATACTCACTGGGTATTCCTTATCACTCTGGTGGGCAAATAACTCTTATGTGGTACCAACTGCTCAATAATTTGCTTAACTTAGAAGTACAGCTCTGCCTCTTAATTTTATAAATATTTTCTCTGTATTTAGTCTTCTCAGCAGTCAAAGCTCAGCAAACTGAAGAAAACATATTATTACGTCTAATCAAATTTCAATGCTTCAAACTAGACTTCAGTCACATTTTTGTCCAGAAACAATTGTGTTTCAGTCCCATCTGTGATGGGAAGAAGATGAGCTATACTAGTTTAATAAAATTGCTTCCTCTTTGGATTAGATGGTAATTCTTATGTTTGGAGGTTTTTTGTATACATATATTTTTGGTTTAATACATTTTCCAGAAACATTTTTTAAATGTAGCTTTTCTTTACATTTATTAATTAAAACCCAAGCCTATAGGCAGAAAAATGTCATCTTTTTTATGATGTCTATAACTTGGTTGTGATGATTATTTATGATGAATAATAAATGGTTACACTGCCAAAAGAACTTGCTGTGGCTTTTCCAGTCCTGTGATTGCCAGTATGGCAGAAAGGGAAGAGCATGCTTTTGGGCTGAAACTCCGATAAAACACAACTGTGAAAAGAAAGAGTTACACAAGCATGTCCTTGATAAAGTCCCAAAACTAGTTAAAAATGGCAGCAAGGCTAATATCACCATCTTTCATCTGTACACTTGTTTAAAAAGTGGTCCAATTACTGATAGATGTTTTCTAAGGCACTTTGAATGTTACCTAAGTGTTTGAAACATTATTTTAAGCAGGAATCTCCAGCTTAATATTACAATAATAGCCCTGCCCTTTCTACTGCTTTTTGGAGATTTTCCAGCATCTTATCTGAGTTTTGATGGAAACTGTAACTGTCTTCTGGCAGAAATAACTGCACATCATTTAACCAGAAAATTAGTTTGAGAAGACATTGTCTCATAGCAGGATTGTCGTAGCATGGACACAGCAGGTAAATCTACCCCCAGTTTTTGGAAAGGACAAATCAGCAAGCTGTCGTTAGCCAAAACTGTAATTTAGATAACAGTTCTGGGATCCAGTTATTTTAGAGCAAGACCAGGAGATGTTGTATGTTTGTGTAAGTGGTTGTGTTCAAGTTCACTTACGCCTTGTGATAATTCAAGGAAAAGCTTGTAAGTGCTAAGATTGCTCCAACAAAGAAGTACTAGGAGTCGAGATTGCTTAGGTTTGGCTCTAGTTTGATGTTTTGGAGGTAGATTTTACTTTTTGGCCAAATTCTACAATCCCCCAGATTGGCTTTCTATAATGTATTTTGCTTAATATGCAGAGGCCCCAATTCTGCAGACTTTAAGTGTCCATTGTTTAAGCGTTGCCAGTCCAGGGAAGGACTACCAGGAAATGGTAGTCTTCATGAGGTTCAGTGTGGAGAGGTCTTTGACCAGAGGTGAGAGACCCCAAAAGAATGAGCCAAAGCAGTACCTGATATTATCAACTGCTAAGGAAGAGTTGGAAGGAAAAGTTTTTACCATGGCATCTGGAAGAAAGATACCCAGAAAAAGTCAAGCTTGGATGATGCTGAGAAGCGAGAAAAGAATCAGAAGAGGAACTGAAAAGAAATCGCGTCTTTTACCCAATTGTAGAAATTCCTTCAGATGCCTGGGATGTGTCATTTTCCTACTCACTGGTTTAGTCTTCAGTGCATGTTTTTATCTGAAAGAGTAAGACAAATGAAATACAAAAGTGGATGCAGCCTTGTTGCAGTATGCTCATGCTTCCACTTCATACTGCATTTCTTCTCCCTGTCAGTTTGATGTTCATGAGGTTGCAGACTGCTCTGCTTTTAAAAACATCTCAGTGCATAGGCAAGTGCTCAGTTTGTTACTAGTTTTGATCAGGAGCATCTCAAATTAAACCATGTTCCCATTTTATGTAAGCTTTTTTTATGCTTTAGTCCACTTGGAGGGCTGTTGACACTTCGTAGCTGATAAACAATTTCTAACAGTTTACCTCAAGTTTAAATAAACCCGTAAGTGTTCTTTACAGTGGCAACAAGGCAGTTCTAAAGATGATAATTTACATTACATTAGGTTCCAGGAATGCCCAGTGTGTTCTGTGTTGCTAATAAACACCAAGTAACAAATATTGAGGGAAGAGTCATGATTTAATCACTTAATGTTGCCATTAAGTCTTAAAGTCAGTAAATCTTGATAATAAGCAAAAAGGTAGATCTTTACTTGGCATTGAAAATGCTTAATAAAGGTGCTTGGACTTTTGTCAGCTACTGTCTTTTTGAAACTGTTTTATTCAACTGTTAACCAAGAGTTTAATTAGGGCCTATTAAATAATTGCTGGCATGTAGTTGTGCACGTATCAAAGCAGTGAATTATTGAATATTTTTAAGTTCTAATTACATTTGGGTTTGCTTTTCAGAAGCTCCCTGTTCGCCGAGGCAGCAAGTTCTGGTATTGAGAGCGATATGTTTTTAGCTGCCTTATTAATGTAAAGTTCACATCAGCAGGGACTGGAGTTACAGGTGGTTTGGTGGCTGCATCGCTCCAGCTGTCGGCAAGAAAGGTGCCAATTAGGACAAATCTCAAAAAGTCTGTTGTATCTGTTTATGTTGTATGACTAACCATGGGAAGCTTAACTTAGAATACCTCTCTACCTCTGTACATCTTTATACAGTCAGTAGTTCTTCTCATTGTAAGTTTGTGCCTTTTAGAGTGTAGTGAGTGGATACATGACTTACTCCTTTTCCCGAATCTTTCCTGCAGCTTCTTCAGCCGGTGGCCATGGTTCATTTCTCCTTCAGATCTCGTTGCAATTACTGTCTCTGCTGACACCTCACCTGTCTGTCCTGTTCCTCTCGATTTGGCTGCGTGTGAGACTAATGCCTGCAGACAGTATTCACACACCTCCTGGCTTTCTGGGCTTGTCTCAGTAGGGCTGAACTGTTAGGAAGTGCTCTATGAAACTGGGGACGGATCAGCAACTGAATTATGCCTTGACAAGAAATCATCATTTAGTTTCAGAATAATCTGTATTCTGCAAGAGTACACTTGAGTTGCAGCAGCTGAGGTTGCTTTATGGAGGATGCCTTCCCAGTTTGAAAGCTTAGCATTATCAGTTCTGTGGCCGTTAATTGAAGATAAATAACAAGTCTGTTGGTTTTTTTTAAACTGAAGCAGCAGGAAAATGAGTCAGTACTTTAATAGTCAAAAGTATGAGTGGATATATTTTGCAGTCATTACCTACATTGCTTGTTTCTTTTGGCAGAAATGGGTACTCCTACAAAGTGGCAGTGGCTCTGTCCTTATTTCTTGGATGGCTGGGAGCAGATAGATTTTATCTAGGCTATCCTGCATTAGGTAAGTTTATTCCTTTTCTTTGAGGTAAAGCTTGTTATTACGACTAAATTGTATGTGTATATTCATATTTTAGGTAATGAAGACCGGTAGTCATAGTTTTAATATTTACAACTAAAATCCTTACTTTATTGTCAAGATAAAATGCTGCATTATCCTCAACCTGCTCTTCTGTTGGAGTGGTGACAAATGAATATATAGTTCTCCAACAGATAAAATCCTAATAAGCAAACGTGGTTATTGCTGTTCATAGTTTTGCTTTGCATTGATGTTTACCACAGCATTCTTTGGGAGGCACTGGAACACAAGTGGGTTTGACTCATGTGCCAGCTACTTAAATGAGACTTGATTTTACCAGAAAAATAGCACACAAATTTACAGTAAACCTGGTGTTTTGGGAGATGGAATTTATTCTGGCAAATGCATAGCTTCAAGATAAATCACATTGTTAACAGTTCTGCAGAAGCTGGGACTTGTAAAAGATCTCCCTCTGGTTGGTATTTTTAGGACCTGATTCCCAGGATGATGGTACCACAGACTTTTAAATAGTTAATAATTAAAAAACCTGTGTGTTAGAACTATTTTCACTGGCCTTGTTTCTGAGCTGGGCAAAGGGAGTCAATTTAAGTGTAGACAGCATGGAGCAATGATTTGGAAAAAGCTATGTGTCTTACTGTCACTTCAGTTATGAATTTTGAGTTTCTGCCCATTAAATGCAAACACTTTTTTTTTTTAATGACATTACCTGTCCTTCTCAATAATCTTGTGTTAACATCCATGTCTTTTATCCCTGAGATTCTGTGATTAGCACTGACTTTGTCCATCTGTTTCACAAAAAGATACATTTTTGGAAGCAGTCAATAAGGTGCATCTTTTTGTAATATCACTGGATTTGGAATAATAATTTGCAATAATTATTTTGTAATATATTGTAGTAATATATAGATTTATAAATCCTTAATTCTCACATGGAAGTTCTTCATGGCTCATGCTTTAACCCTACTGGAATATACTGTAGCCAGTAGCCAAAGTTAAGACCTAAAATTAAACTTTTCCAAAGCCAAGTTTTCTCTCCTTTGAAAGGTAAAGAAGACAAAAGCAAATAGGTAAGAATAGAAAAGATTAAAAGAATAAAAATCAACACACTGGATTCCATGACAGTGGATGATTGGGGATTTTTTTAGGTCATCCAGGCCTTGGTAAAAAGTGGTTAAGAAAGGTTAATGGCATTGAAATATTTTTTGCAAGTGTAGTGAAGAGTGTAAATGCTCTTTGGTTTGTTTTTTTTTTCCATCTCTTTTGCTTAAAGAGCACACAGATACAAACAAGCTATTGAGTATGAAGAAATCAGGAAAGCAACTTCTTCCTCTCCCACACACTGTGAACTAAACCATCAGTTATTAATGCAGAAGAGCACTATTTTTCCCTTCATGCTTTAGAGCAGTTTATTTTCTCAGTGTGATCTGCTGGTGGGGAGGGAGGTGAGGAGGAAGAAAAAAGCCAACTTTACCCTGCACTCCAAAAATAAATGCCAGGTTCAGAAACATTTCTTCTCCATCCAGTTCCTCAGGTGAATTAGAGCTGCTGCTGGAACCAGCAATGGTAAGAGACCTGCTGGGTTCCTCAAATGCCAGCTGGTACTGGGACACCTTCCACTAGACCAGATTGCCTAGAGCTCCATCCAGCCTGGCCCTGAACGCTTCCAGGGATGGGGCAGCCACAGCTTCTCTGGGCAACCTGTGCCAGGGCCTCACCACCCTCACAGTCAGGAATGCACATGGGTTTTTCTTCCAATCAGCTGAAAGACCATCCAGCTACTACTCTTTCATCTTCTTGGTCATTAGGAGTGTTGCAGAGATTATAAACTATCTCCCTGGAGTTCAGTTCCATCTTGCCAACTATGGGAGCTATATCCAGGCAGTGGGATGCTCTTCCTGCAGTGTGGATGCAGTTATTCTCCTCTTCTTCTCCATAGACAGCCTCATAAACAGGGCTGGGGGAGAGGAGTTGGTTTGTGGGACATGTTGCTGCTTTGGAGAGAGGGATAACCCAGATGTTTGCCTGAAGTGATACTTAAAATATATATAGTTCCCACTGTATTATGTTTATTGCACAGGAAACTATTGATATTAAAAAAAAATAAATTTTAAGACATCCTCTTTCTTCTGAGGGCATTTTCCAAATGAAGTCAACTTTGCAGGGCATCTTCCAATGAAACATTTATCTGGTAGTTACTATTCTGATATATTTTCTATTTATCCTTTATTTATTAGTATAAAAATAACATTTTTGGATACCAGTTAAAAAGAAGCATTTATATATTTTTATATAAACTAAAAATAAATTCATATTTCAGGAAAAATATAAAAATGATACAAAGGATTGTTTTCCAAAGTTGCATGTTCTGTAAGTCAAATCTGTATATGCTGCAACTCATGAGCTGGTAGAAGGTCTCTATTCATAAGGAAATTTTGCAGCTCAAGTTGGGATTTTTCTGTCAGTGCTTCAATCAAAGGAACATTTCAGTAACTTGGTCATCAGCTTTGGCCTTTGCTTATTTAAGAATACAGATCTGTTAAAAAATTGTTAATGTTTAAAATCCTTTAACTGTTTTCAGGATGTAGAAATATGAATATGCGGTTTGATTTT